GAGGGTAAAGCCGGCCGGACAGGAGCTTGAGTAGGGGTAGGGTGGGGTGGGAAGGAAAGACAGCAGGCAGGAAGAATGGAGAGGAGAGAATTCCATTCTCAGGGTGCAACCCAATCACAGCAATACCTGGTTCAAGGCCTGGAATGGGTTTTTGGACTTCAGATGCAAATATCCAGGCAAACACTTCCTCCAGGCAGCCTTCCCACCATTGATTTTGTCTCTGCCTGGATGTTCTCAGTCCCGTGTGCACTGGGCATTTCGCCAACTGAACCTATTCGATGTAGAATTGCACGGCAGGCTCTCGCTGCTTTCCAATGTGTGCAGCATGTATCAGCATCTTTTTCTTTCTTTTTAAAATCAGGACTGACAGTGATGGGGAGCAGTGGAGAGAGGGCGGAGGGCAGAGGGATTAGTGCAAAGATGGACATGAGGGTGAGTAGGGAGCAGGAGACAGGCTCAGTGCGAATGCCAACAACCGACTGAACCTGAGCCGCTGCGTCTGCACGGCTACACCTGCGCTGGGCACAGCGCTCGAGTCCTGGAGGTGCCAGGAATGGAACTTCCATGTTTGCTGAACTTTTCCTTTCTCTTTGCTGTAGGGTGTGTGCTCTAACCAGGGAGACAGACAAAAAGAGAGGAAAAGTGAGAAAGCACCCCCCAGGAGGCGCCACGCCACCGTCCCTTCTTCATTCTCCTCTCAGGACTTTGGGCGCACAAGCACAGGCGCCTGGCACGTGTTACAAGGCCCTGGGTCTAGAACTCACACCGCGCAGTTGGCTGTGTGGGACCCAGCTCCATGACAGCTGTGCAAGCCAGCCCTGAGCTAGTATGGATATGGACAGAGAATGCTCCCTTCTCTAGTCGCAGGTCTCCTCCTGTGTGTGTGTACGGGGAGTGGAGGTGACTGTCCCTCACAGCCATGTCCAGATCTGCTGTCAGAGACCCCAGGGTAGAGTCACTCCCTGGGCTCTGGGCCTTGATCCACGGCTGGGGCACTGGGAGCACCTGAGCAGGGGATGCAGAGGGAGCTGACTGGGTGGGAGGAGGACTAGCACCAGGCCCCAGGCAGCACAGCAGGGCCCTTCCTGAGGCCCAGACGCCTCCTTTCTGGTAGAGCCTCTCCTGACTCACCCCACACCCACGCTGCCTCCTGTTCCCTTTCCGTATGCTGGAGACCGTGTGGCTACATGCCCCAGCACTGCTTCTTCCCCAGGGGGCAGACCAAGGTGGCCTGGCCAGGGCCGGGCAGAGGTGCCTGAGAGCACAGAAGCCCAAGCCCGCCCAGTGGTTCACACGAGCTCTTCCAAGGGCAAAGGGTGCCTTGAGGAGCCTGGGGAGGCCACCGTGCCGCCCTCCTGGCCCTTCTCCAGGAGACCCCTGAGGTTTGCTGGAAGAATGCCGCCCACCAAGGGAAACTTCAGGCTGGAAATTCCCGGGGAAGAAATTTATGGAAATACAAAATTTAAAACCCCTGGCCCATCTTGGGGGAGGTTCCTTCACCGTAGGCCTGGGAGCTTCCCCCTCCTCTGCTCCAAGCTGAGCCCAGATCTTGGGCAGGAGGGGGCGGGCGGTGGGCCCCTCCCAGCACTTACCTCTCCCAAACAATTGCAGTGTTTCACGAAATTACTCCGTTTCCCAGGAGCTTTTTAAACGACACATTTTTTTTAATTCCTTCCATTTAAAATACCTTTTTTTCTATGCCCTGGAGGGGAAAGAAGAGAATAAAAAGCTAATAAAGCAATCACAAATGCCGAGCACCCAGCCCTAAGCCTGGGGATTGTGACTGGATTTGGCGCCGGCAGGCTGGGGGCGGGCAGGAAGAGCAGGAGGGGAAGGGGAGGCACTGGGCGCCCTGTCCCTCGGTCCCAGGCTCCTCTTTCTCGCCTTTGTTCCCTCCCCATCCTGTCTGTCTGCCTTGGTCCCCTGCTGTCTGGAACTCCCAGCCCTCAGCCCTCGCCAGCCCCAGGCCTGCTGCTGCCTCAGCCCCAAGCACACCAGTCCTCACCAGCCCTCACCGCCCCTGCTGGGCTTTCAAATTCCTCATGCCTTTTACTGCAGCTATGGCTGCACTATTTCTAGTGCCCCAGAGGCTGGTTCAGGGAGAGCTAGCCGTGTGGATTTCATTAGCTTCCTCTTTACTGCCCAGTTATGGGGACAGTCGGCCTGGCCTTGGAGCCAGCTCCACAGGCCCATTTTACAGCCTGGAAGACTGAGACCCCAGAGGCAATGCTGAGCTGCTACAGCAATGTGCTGGGAGCCTGGGAAGGTGAGGACAGGTTCCCAGCACTGCCAGCCACCCAGCCCTGGGCACCAGGACCCATGCTGCCAGCCCCCTGCCTGCCTATTCTCACCAAATACAAGGACTAAAGGCAGGTCAGCCCCTCCTTGCAAATGAGGCAGTTTTATGGGCTTTAGAAAAACACTCCAATTGTTCCCTCAATTACCCTGAGCGGATTGAATATATTAATCTCTCTCTTAACTCGAGTTAGAGACTGGGCTGTCTCCCCTCCCCCAGCCCCAGCGCCCCTCCACAGGCACGTGCCAGGGATCACTCCCAGCCCCCTCCTGGGTCCCCCATGCTCTGCTTGCAGGTCAGCCTCCACTGGGCAGCACAGTTCTGCAACCATAGTGGCCACCACTGACACATACACACACAGCACACACAGTCATGACAGTACACATACATATGCACACAGCACACACACACATACACACAGCGAAGACAGTATGCACACATGCACACACAGCACAAATGACATACATACATGCACACATATGAACATGCGTGCACACAGTGCATACATGTGCACACACGCAAACACAGTAAACACTCATGCACACACGCACATGCACATACACACACATAGGCATACAGCTGCTTTACAATTCATCAATTTTCATGGATTTTTTTTCATTGCTGCTGTTTGGAAGAGCCATTTCCCTGAGTAAATGCTGTCGTGGGGGCTCCCCCCTGAGGAGAGGGTGGGAGGGATGGGGGGACCGCAGGGCTCCCCTTCTGCTCCTGTGACAACTGCCTGCAGCTTAAACACACTCTGCCCCAGGCGGCTGAGCCCTGCTAAAAGCTACCTGAGGTTTCCCTTTGTAGCTCGATTTTCTTTTATTTCAGGGAACAAAGGCACTGTCAAGGCGTTCTCTGAGTGCTGTCACCGTGCAGGGAGGGAGGCTGAGCTGGTGGGACTGGTGGGCGTGGGCAGCTGGCTCTAGGGAGGGTGGGTGAGGCACATCCAGCCCCACCTCTCCCTGACCCATCAGAAAGGGAAGCTCAGACTGAGGCCCCACAATTGCCCTGTGGCCACCCACTGACTTCCTCCTCCGTGGCCCTCTGAAGGAGACCCCAGGTCCTTGTGTAGAGGAGATTCAAAACTGCACATATTTGGGGAGACCCCATTTTTACCCCCACCACACTCTGCCTGCCGCGTTGCCTGTACATGCCTTTGGGGTTCTAGAACTCGGTGGGATGGGGGGTGCAAGCAATCTGGGACTCGGCCAGTTCGGGGTGAGAGGCAGGTACGTGGGGTGGGCAGACCGGGCTGTGGCATTGACTTGGTGGCATTTGACCCTGTGCGTCAGGTCACCTCCCTCGGCCTCTGCTTCCACATCTGTAAGCCAGCAGACTGCTGGCAACCACCCTGTGGGACGCGCCTGCCATTCCAGAATGGGGTCAGGGTGTCCTTGTTGGGCCGATGGGTCTGGACCTCAGTTTCTGCACCGAGAAGATAGGGCTCAGGGCCCCCAGGGGAGGGAGGGTATTGGGAACTTGCGAGTCTCACAGTCCCGGGCCCTGGGCCCAGATCCCAGCTGCAGGTGGAGAAGGGGCCCAGCCTGGTGTTCGTCTGGAAAGAGGCTCCATTAGCAGATTGTTTCAACATAACACACCAGATGGCCCCGCTGCCTCCTGTCCCCACCTCCTGGAGGCCCGTGTGTGTGTGCGCGCATGTGTCGAGAGAGAGAGAGAGAGAGAGAGAGAGATCTGAGTGATGTGAGAGGAGGTGGAAAGAAAGGGGGTGCCTGCCCCTGAGGTCCCAGCTCAGTACGTGAGGATATCGAGGAGGGCTTGTGGCAGTTTCTCAGCTCCAAAAACAACCTTCGCAGTGAGAAAAGGGGACAGAGGTGCCGAAGGGCCCAGTGATGGCAGCATTTTCTGATCCTTGCACCCCTGAGAGGTAGAAGTGCCCCGACTCCTAAACACACCACCCTCGTGGGATCTCAGACACTCAGGACATGCATGCACACACGTGTGAGTGCAGTCTGCCTTCCAGGTGCATGTCTGCTGCATCTTCTGAGTTGACCAGCTGCAGATAGGAAATACTGGAGCCGACAACCTGGCCGTGCGTGCACTGAGCATGTGCTCACGTTCCCGGCCGTTCCCCAGACAGTGCAGTGCAGCTATGCCCACCGCATTCATGTCACAGCAGGCGGGGATGTGACCAAGGATGGACGTACAGATCCTATGCCGCTGGGCGAGAGGGCCTCCAGCTCTGCAGATCTGATATCCACAGGGCCCCGCAACAATCTCCCAGAGGTCCCACAGGAGGACGGCAGGCACAGACGTACCGCATCCTCAATGTGCAGAGACCCCCGATCACAAAGAGAGCTTCACGCCGCCCATGGCTGAGCACACCCAGAAGCACATGCCCTCCCCCATAGGTCTCATGCCACCTTCAGAGCTCTCGGTTCGGCACCGTGTAACACCCCCCTCCTCAAGTGCAGACTCTCCCAGATGAAGAAGAAGCTTTGGGGCCATGACATGTGTGATATATGAGGTGAGATTAGGGCCCCGATCTTTAATAAAGGTCTGACAGCAGATGGGGAGGGCAGCAAGGAAGGAAGGCAGACGGCACCCGCCCAAACGCAGCACATGCCCTCCCCCATAGGTCTCATGCCACCTTCAGAGCTCTCGGTTCGGCACCGTGTAACACCCCCCTCCTCAAGTGCAGACTCTCCCAGATGAAGAAGCTTTGGGGCCATGACATGTGTGATATATGAGGTGAGATTAGGGCCCCGATCTTTAATAAAGGTCTGACAGCAGATGGGGAGGGCAGCAAGGAAGGAAGGCAGACGGCACCCAGTCGGCCCAACCGCCTGCGTCCTGGGATGGTTCTGCAGAGGTCCAGGGTCAGAGCAGCTGAGGTGAGCAGAGATCAGCCTCCTTCCCGGGGTGGAGGGAGGGTGCATGTAAGACATCCTTCCCCCAACACGTAGCGACAGCCTGCTCTGGGGTACAGCGGTCCCCCTGCCTTCACCGTGGGGACCAGCCTTCACTCATGTATGTGTGCACCTAACGGGTGGTGAGCTAGGCCGCTGTGTGTCCATCCTCAGAAGCCACCAAGCTGGGCAAGGAAAGGAACTAGAAGCTGGGGGACAACCGTGAGGGTGGGGTGATGGGACCATTAGGTGTGCATCTGCTCTGGCCAGGAGTCAGGAGACCTTGTCCTGAGCCTCTGTGCTAGTCACACAAGAGCAGCTGCAAGTGACTTCATGGGCCTCAGCTTTCTCATCTGTATATGGGGAGGGTAGTGCCTCCTTCTCCAGGCAGGAAGGTCACAAGGCTCAGGGGAGAGGGTGAGAAGTGGCCGACAGCAGGAGCTCTCCCTCAAGGACAGGGTGAGGTTTCAGCAGAGACTGAGGAGGGTCAAAGCGGGAGGACACAGCCAAGGAATGTGAGGGCCAAGATAGCCAGAGAAAGCAGGACATGCAGAGGGTGCTCACAGGACACCCAGGGAATAGCGGGCGAGGCCACCTCTGCTGAGCTCTCTCCTGGTGGGTGCACACGGGACGCCCAGGGAGCAGTGGGCGAGGCCACTCTGCTGTGCTCTCTCCCAGAGGATGCTCGCAGGACGCCCAGGGAACGGTGGGCAAGGCCACCTCTGCAGAGCTCTCTCCTGGAGGGTGCTCTGAGTCAGCAGCAGGCCAGGCTGGAGCATGCCTCCACCCGTGAGCACACAATGGGAGTGAGAGCAGAGCTCCCCATCCCCAGCCGCAGGCTGGTCCGTGGCCTATTGAGAGCCCAGGCCGCCCGGCCAGCAGGGTGGGGATCAGCTGTTCCCCGTCGCTGAGGTGTGACTGTTTCTGTGTACACTTCAATGTGGTAGTCGTGGAAAGGGAGTGCTCGGTGAATGTGGTGCACCTGAGTCACCCTGGGCCTGGCCCCTCCTGCAAGAGCAGGAACTGCTGGGTCTCGGACACTGTTCATCTATCCAAGGGCACGTTGTTGCCACATGTGGTCGCCAGGACCCAGTCTCTGCCCAGCAGCCTCAGCACCTCCCAACACATGCAACTTCGGGGGACAAACCCTGATACAACCCCAGCTCCAAATTATCTGCCCCCTCAGCCAACAATGTGCGATGGTCACACTTCAGGCTCAGGCCCGTGCTCCTGAGCAAGTCCTTGCACATCTCTGGCCTCTGTTGTCTCATCTCTAAGAGGGGGCTAAGGAGGCCTACTTTACAATGTGGTTGTGACAATTAAACAGCATACTAGTCTCGCTGCAGTCCAGGAGGCCTTCTTGGAGGAGAGAGATTCTAAAGACTGAACAACGAAGGCACCCTGATTCAGCCTTGGCAGCAGGAA